AGGTGTCAGGCCGCCTGAGGGGAATCATGGTGTTCTGCCACTCTCAGATGGGGGTCAGGGCTACAGTGTCTTGCGCCACCTCTGATTGCTCAGCATGCCCCCCTGCAAGACTTCCCTTGAGTGGATGCAGTGCCCCAAACGGCCTTTACAAAATGGCCTTTGTGCTTATCAATGGGAATAAGGCGTAGCCAGAGAAAAGGGTTTCTCACCCCATTCACACGGGTCAGTCTCATCCCAGAGCCTTCCCAGCTCTGGGGTCTGGGACCACCTTTGCGCCAACTTTGCCTCTTTTTATAAAACCCACCAAGTCCTTTGTCTTCCCCTGGAGCTGGGTTTGTCCGGCTCTCCAGGGGGGTCGGAGATAGATTTCAAGGAAATGGCTTTTCTGCCCTGTCCTTTAACTACTGGAAAATGGGGGGAGCTGAAACGACGCTCCCCTTTCTCGCTTATGTGCAAGCCGGCCCCTGTTTGAATGAACCCTTGGCAATCCTATAGCAAGCAGCCCAGGAAGAATCAGACAGACAGATGGGTCAGATTAATAAGTATCACAGGCAGCTCTCACGCCCTTCAGTCCCAAAGTGTGTGTGTGGCGGGCTGGGGGCAACGGTATGTGCAGCTTCTGCTTATAAAGGTGGGAGACATTTCTGAGCGCAGGGCTACAGGCAGGGAGGGTTCATTCATCTGCTTTTCCAGGCTCCTCAACTGCAACTGAACAGCAATGCTTCCCTGGCTTGAAACTGATCGGTTGGCGGGTTTAACTGCCTGTGGGCTAGCTGAGTACACGGAACAGGTAAATAAACCCGATGGCCAGTTTAGATCAGGTGCCTGCATTTATCCAGTTCAAACAGGGCTGGGGTTTGACTGGGGCGGTGTGTGGTAGCCCCACCTCTCTGGGTTTCAGTTCCTGGCTCTGCCACGGGCTCGCCGCCTGACTTCGGGGAAGTCACATTGCTCCCTGCATCAGTTTCCCTATCTGTAAAACAAGGGAAACCACCTCCTTCTCCTACTAGGGAGTTACAAATTTGGGCATAAGCTTTCATGGGCTAGAACCCGCTTCATCAGATGGATGAAGTAAAATTGGGGAAATTCAGTTTAGGTTTTGTGATGATTGTAATGGTTGGGTCATTACAAAACCTAAACTTAATTTCCCCAATACTAATTTCTCCCTACTGTTACTCACACCTTCTTGTCAACTGTCTGTAATGG